GGCAGACTCCAGACGAGAGGCTGCAGCTTCCTTGGGCTGCAGGGAGATGTCTGGTGCAGCCAATGTCCCTCCACGCTCTTCACACCCCCATCCTCTCCGCTCTTCACAGCAGCAGGACAAGGAGGGCTTTGAGAAGATCAACACGAGACCTGGCAAGGTACAGGGAGGGTGGTGAGGCTGGGCTGGGCTGGCTGGCTGGGGCATGGTGCAGTGTGGCAGCACTTTTCCACTGTGTCACCCTCTCCCAGATCATCCTCTACTCCGACGCCGGCTTCGCAGGCCAGAAACGGGAGATCTGGGGTGATATCCCTGATGCCACATCCTGGGAGCTCTCACACACCATCTCCATTCGGGTCATCCGAGGAGGGTAAGGACAGCAGCAGGGTGAGGACACGAGGAGAGGACACAGAGGGAGGGCTTGGCTGGGACTCGTGCGCTCCCCGTGCTGGGGATATCAGCCAGGTCCCAGCCTGGGGTTCAGGAGTGACTCTCCTGCCAGTGCTAATTACTGTGGCTGTTTTCTGGCGATGGCAGGACATCCCCACCCACACTCTGCCCCGAGGCTCCTGGTAGCCCCAGGACTGCAGGAAAAGCAGGATTTTCCCCCTCTTTGCTCCCACCCTGCTGCCAGGTGGGTGATGTATGAGAAGCCAAGGTTTCACGGGCGCAAGTGTGTGCTGGCCGAGGGGGACGTGGAGATCAACAATCCCTGGATGGTGTACGAGGAGAACGGACAACCCCGCGGCAACCGTCCCTTCCGCATCGGCTTGCATCGGCTCCTTCAAGAGGGTGGTGAGGGTGAGTGCAAGGACCCCCTGAGCCTCCCAGCACCCTCCAAGCAGGGGATGCTGGACCCCTGTGACACTGCTGTGCCCCCAGGATTATCGCATCCCCGAGATCAGCCTGTTCACCGAGGAGAACGGCGAAGGAACACGGCTGAAGTTCACCAACTCGGCCGAGGACACCCGCACACAGGGACAGGCACTTTCTGCTGCCTCCATCATCGTCCACTCAGGCCTGTGAGTGGGATAGTGGGGTTGGGTGGGTGTCAGGTGGGCTCCAGCGTGGGCTGGAGCAGGTGTGATGCCTTCTCCCTCTTCCCCAGGTGGCTGGTTTACTCCAAGCCTTTCTTTGATGATGATCCCTATGTTCTGGAGCCAGGCGGGTACCCCAGTTTAAAGGCTTGGGGAGCAAAGGACCCATCCATCTGCTCCATGCACCCCATCAGGCTGGTGAGTGCTGGTTGCTGGAGTGTGGTTTCTGGGGTACCAGGGCCATATCCAGCCCTGGGCATGACAGGTGAGAGCATGTCCCAGCAGTTCCTGGTTCACATCAGTGGGAGTAGGATGAGGAAATGTGCCAAATGTGGCTCTGCAAAGCACTCCTGTGGGTTAGGGGTGAAGGAAAGCTCCAAAAGAGGTTGTTCTTGAATGAAAATGACCCTCAAAACAGTTCAGGCTTTAAAGGGGGAAAGCAGATGTCCTTACAGCATCCCCTCCTGCCACCACAAACTCACTGAGGCTCCTTCTCCTTCCAGGGCTGCCCCATTGTGGAGAGACCTGGTGAGCCACAGGTGAGTGCTGGGCCAGCACCAGGGGAGCCATGGGCTGAGAGCCCTGAGACCATTCTCACCCCACTGTGTCCCCAGGTGCTGATCTACGAGGCCACAGGGTTCCAGGGCCACAGCTTCAGCATCAGCAGAGACATCTACGACCTGAAGCGCCTGCCCGAGCCAGCACTGGCCACCGTGGGCTCCCTGCGTGTCCTGGGTGGCTGGTGAGTGGCATGGTGCAGGCAGGGCTGGCATCCCAGCTGGAGCAGGCTGGGAAGGTGGTGGTCACCCCTGAGAAAGGGCTTGGAGGAGCTGCCCAGGGCTGTGGGATGGCCATGGGTCACTTGGGAGAGAGGGTGTGGATGGTAATCCCTGTGTCCTGGCACGTGGAAAACCCCTAGAACCTCACTGCCTGTGTCTGCCTGTGCCACAGCTGGGTTGGTTACGAGAAGGAAGGTTTCCGTGGCCACCAGTACCTGCTGGAGGAAGGAGAGTACCAGGACTGGAGGCAGTGGGGCGGCTACAGCAAGGAGCTGGTGTCCCTACGGCTGATACGGACGGTGAGGGCAGGGATGGTGGCATTGCTTGGGAATGGACCCAGTGTGGGCAGAGAGAGGCAGGCTCCCCATCCCATCTTCATCCCCCAAGGGAACCTTCCCCGTGCACCAGGCAGCTGGGCATGGCCTGAGATCCCCCAAACTCATCCCACACAGAGGTTTGGGAGCTGCTCCTACCCTCCCTGGGGTCT